TGATCTCACAAACTTTGGTTTCTCATTAGAGCCGAGCTCAGATGTGAAAGATAAATGGAAGTTCAATGAGAATGAGAAAAAACGAAAAACAAAATGAAAATGAGGTCTGTTATAGGGCTGACTTACAGAGCCCGATACGCGTGTCTCAACCTTTTCAATCTCATCAGTCGGGGCCTTTTGTCAATGCTCTCGAGGCTCTGAGTCCACCAATCACCGAATGGAGAGGGTTGTACAATCAGTTGCTCTTGGCTGGTATCGTTCATACGGACTCTATAAGTCAGCCCTATTACAGACCACTTGATATACTGGCTCAAATAATAGCTGTGAGATATGTCGAAGTTTGAGCGTGGTCTTAAGAAAACACTCTCATGTTTTTTGAAGCTGGCTTTTTTGCTTCTCAGACTTCACCTTTCCTTTCGTCACTTTTTTCGTATTTCATATTCATTTCATTTTGACTGGACACTGATTTGAAATAATATGGTGTTTAAAGTGACGAACAGAATATCTTCTTAATACTTCTGTATAAGACTATATGAGCAAATTACAGAAGACATCGAAACGAAAGAGATAACTGGATTCTTTGTAGACACGAAAGTGGCTGAACACCAGCAGCAGCGACGAGGATGTCGACGTCGGTTCCGCACGCGTCGTACTGATCGGCGCTTCGATTGGAGGCACGATAGCCTATGAAATGTCAAGGCACTTACGTACCGAATGCGACGTCATCGTAATTGACAGCGGAACCGCCTACGAAGAGCTACACGAGTACAAGTTTGACGAGCATTCCAAGGTTTTCTTTCTGTTATTTTGTCTCTTAGTAGTTCTTAGCCTCTCAAGCCTTAATTCTATGGAGTGAGCCGTCACCTATTTCGAAACCGCCTCGGTTCCATTTGTTGCGGATATTGCGAAATTCTATATCACAGTCATTCTCACGCTGTGGTGAAACTCAATTTTTATGATCGCTGCTCGAGCGCGCTAATAAGGCTTTGCAGCAGTATTATAATTGACGAGTTTATGACCTATCGAAAGATCGTTAAAAGTCTGAAAAAAGGGGGAAAAGGCCTTGTTCTAAAGAGTGGAAGGATGGACTGAGACGGACTTGCGCAGCTAATTCAAATTATTCAGCAACAACAAGCATTCTTAAGTGTTCAAAGTTATGAGATATGATTTATATATCAACATACTTGCTTTAATGGCGCATTCTAACGAGCAAATGTAAGGAGTTCTATCTGCTTTTTGATTACTGTTATGTTGCTGGTTTGATATGGGTTTTTTTTTCAGTGATTCTCTAGCAAGCCATGCGATTCTCGGATTATAACTACGAATAGCTCTTGAACTTTATAAATTGGAAGCACGCGGTTGCCACTCTATTGCTAGGTTGCTGGGTTTCCATCAAGACGGCAGTTCTTAGCCTATGTCTTATGATTTAGATGCGTTATAAAAACAGTATTATCTGTTTTACTTATCTTAGATTACTTTAATGAATCAATGCTTAGCTAGTTCCTTTTTTTGTTGCCTTTTTTTTCTCTTTAGGTCAAATGAACATGTGAAGCATAGAAAATAAGATGACGCCAGCAGTAGAATTAGCTTAAATTTTGAATTATTTCCAACCCGTTCTGGTCGACATGTATCTTTGAAGACGCGCGAAGAGCTAGCGTTATTTTACTGGGCAGAGACTGATCTCTAGGCTTTTAATAGTGATTCGAAACCGATCTTAACAGTGTACGTAGTTGAGAAAGACTTCTTGGTGCACTGTAGCAGCGAGAACGCAGTTATGTTTCCCACTCGACTAGCATTTTTTGTTGGATAGGGTCTCCGCGTGGCTTTTTCCGAGCTTCTAGTAGTCATTTGATAGCATAAATATTGTAATTCTGAAAATAGGTTTGACTTTTGGAAAGGTCTACATAGAGCGATTTAAGCGCGAAAAGAAGATTACGTTTCACACTCGAAGTAGTCAGCCCGTTGCATGAAATTCATAGTGAGTTTAATCATTACTGCAATAAGAACTTAGAAGCTAATACATATAGAGCGATGGATCAACATCTTTTGTTGAATTCTGACACAAAAAATCTAGAAGTTTCTTCGTAGCAGAGAAAAAATTTGTAAATAAATAACAAAAGTTTCCCCGCGCGCAGCAATTTCAATGCCCGCTTCAAAAGGGCGCGAATTTGGTTAACTCTTTGAAAAAATTTTGCTCAGTTTTGGACAAACTTCCAGGCTTCCTTTGATATTCTGGTACATCACGACTCTGTTTTAACGATTATATGCTCTGGTGTATATATATCCAAGTGCGAAACAGAATTTTTTTGGTCCAGGAAAGCCTTTTTAGAATCAAAGTTGATTTCAAAATTCACGCTTTGAAATTATCTAATAACTGCTAGAAATCTGGTGATAATTCATCCACAAATTCTGGCGACGTAAAAGTGCGGGTCTCAGATGGAAAATGATCTTGTTTTTGCTGCTACAGTGCAATAACGAACCCGTTAGAGGACAACTATAATACTGAAGTTTAAGAGATTTAACTTATCGCACAATTATTAGAAGTCTGAGTGCGACGCGAAAAAGCTCTGCTTCAAACCAGTTAACTCTATCGGTCTTATGATTGACAGGACTGGTCCTAGCTTGTACTGTGACCAACACGATCGTCCGGATTGTATAAGTGTATATGAAAAGATTTCGATTAGTAGACGGGAAACACACTAATAAGGTTCGTCAGCGGACATATTAACCACAAAGTTAACGCAACTTCTTTTATCACTTTTTTCGGAGAATTCTATCAGTCCTGGAATATGGGTTTCTCGAATTCCTTGAACATTAGAAGGACGACTTTATTTTTTCTGATAAACGATCTTCAGAGCACCAACGACGCGCTTTCCAACTATGAGCTTGACGACGAGACGAGATTCTGGATGGTAGTGAATTCGTGGGACCTATTACAAATGCTGAAGGACTACAGACCGACACCGTCAGCAAATCTACAAAGCCTTACAGTGTTCTCAATTGATGGTACTGACCTCGGATGGAACAGGTCTCTGTTTATAAAGCCTATTCATTGTTTATCAATTACTGCAATATATAACCTGAGTACAAAAAAATGGTGGTTTCGATTGGTAAATGCTACAGATAAAGCAAGATTGCCTTCATTCGACTGATTTTCAAAAAAACATTGTGACATGTTCCCCTCTGCGCTACTTTCAATAAAGGGCAAGTGGCACTGATGAGACGGGCGAAACCGTCGGAACGTACATATACCACTAACCTGTAATACCAAAACCTCGAAAAAAAGCTTAATAGACGGTCTGTGGAAACATGACGTAACAATGTAAGTAGTTTGTGATCGAAACTGACGAATTGTGGAATTATTCAAAAATTGATCATCAGAGGATGTCCACTTGTTGAAAAAAACAGCTGAACAATCACTTAAACAATAAATGGCTCGAAAACTTGTGGGTTTCCAACATCCAGCCTATCAGTGTTGAGAGAAATCTTCAGAAGTTGGTGAGATGGACAGGTTATAACACAAAACATTGCGTGGAAAAATAGAAAGCCATGTGATTCAAAACTGAGAGCTAAATCTAAGCTTTACAATTCGAATGTCGAATCGTCACCTGGATCGATGAACTATCGTACATGGATCAAGAAAAGGAGTGATTTGGCAGAAGAATTTACACATCTTCGCCAACAAGTCAGGAAGTTCCCTACTCTAAATTTATTGAAACCAGGACTTCGGAAACATCTGAATCTTTATTCAGGTCAAAATTTATAAGTAACTGAATGGATGTATCTTAATCCAAATCATTACGTTGGTGTAAATGGAGTAATCGCTGATACTGGGGGTCTCTTTTCTCTCAGTTCAGACTCAAACCATCGACGCTAGCTAGTGCAATTTCTTGTTTACGTCTCACTCATCAGCACGTTTCAAAATCTCTTAAGCAGCTGTTTATCTTCATAAACTTTATTTCATGTAGCTCCGCTACCAATGATATTATCAGCGTTTATATTATCATCTGGCTATTGATATTCGAAATAAACGACTTATTATTACAGTGTGCATCCCACCTCTACGAAAAAAATTGCTGGAACTCACTTCGATATGCTTTCGCAAGAAACAGCGATGCGTTGGCCGCCGAAATCGCTCGAGTTTTGTCTCTGTGAAGTTTTTCGGAATGAAAACGAGCTTGTTAGAAAGTAATACTGGAATTTGATTATTTTCTATGAATCTGTAGCGAATAAAAGGAGTAATTTTTATGTTGCGTTGTTAATCTCAAATGTAAATGAAAACCTATATCGGATATATGCCTAAGAGAACTGAACGGTAAGGGTAAATACGACCTCATACGAGAGCTGAACTCGCGTTTCCCCATGCCGTGGACTCCTACTACCACTACGCCACCACCACATCATATTGCAACTAGTCACTCTTCAATGTCTCTGTCATAGCTATCAGCCACTAATCTTTAAGAGGTTTGATTGGGTAAGCACGTATTGCTTCATAGACCCAGTTAGGCTGACAGCCATTGTGATATGTAATACTCAAGATTTCTCATGTTTTTACTGCTTTTCTGCTTTTTTGAAGTGTTATGAGGATTAAATCATACCTAAAATTGTTGAGTGATAAGCAAAAATTCGACTTCAGGCCGGAATTGAACCCGCGTTTTACCCACACTGGGGGCGCGTGCTAGCACATTACATATCACATGATTGTTAGCTTCACTAGGTTTATAAAGCGATATGTGCTTACCCGACCAAAACTATTTATCGACTCAAACATGGAAACTTAGCTTTGTCTGTGGCACGAGGCAGGTAGACGACGCTGTTGTTGTCGTCGTTAATAGCTGTAGATAGATCGCTGTACGGATTGCTGGCTGACGTTTCGGCGACACCTCCTTCTTCAGAGCCTGGGCGTACATTGTTTTCGATATTTGTATGAGCCCGTAATAGGATCGATGCATAGGCACCGCCCCCCGACGATATTGAAGAATTAATGGTGGAGAAATGGTGTCTCTGTGGTGTAGTGGTAGAGCGCGCCCCCAGTATAGGTGAAACACGGTTTCAACTCCCGTCTGAGGACGATTTTTTCCCTTATACTCAATTCTCTTAGGTGTATTTGAATCACTATAACATTACGGAAAAGCAGCAAAAAACACAATAAAGGTGGGCATTACACGAAAATGTTTCGATGTAAGAATTGTGGTGAGGATTGTACGCATAATCGAGATCATACAATGAATTGCACAAAGTCAATTTTTATCCCAAGGCACGGATGATATAAGCAATTTCTTCGCCAAAAGGTCCGGGAAGCCTGTCTAACTTCAGGCCCGGAACAGAACCACAGACCACGTGTGTAACGTGCGTAATGTAGAACACCTCCAATCACCGCTTTACAGACGCTTTTGTGCTACTACCTTGTATAGCTGATATAAAGTGCGATTTTCTTATACTATATATTTTTTCATGACTTTACGTCATCTGACGGTTGTCGTAAATCTGTGATTCAGTCCTTTTGCTCCTCTAACACAAACAAGTCTTCATCCCTGTAGGGTCTAGAATTTGGCAGAGGAGATATCTGCGATCACTTTGCTCTCTTTAATCCATAAGAAACATCAACTGCCTTTGAGAAGCGCACTCGTACTATCACAACAATAACATAACTCGAGACAGGATCGACTCTAATATCATGCACGACGAAACTGAAACTACTGTCAGAAATAGTTGAACGTCCGAAAAGTTATAGAGGAATTCTCTTAAAATCTAGAAAAGATTTTAAAGAGGCATTTGGGTCTTGCGTAAGAGGAATCGGATAAAGAAAGCATAACGTTCCAAACGGCCTGAGATATCGGATAGCTTAGGATACAGCTCAAGGAAGACTCCCGCAAAGACAATGGCAGAGAAACTACTTTTGGCACTTCCACCACTGCTTCATCACAAACAGCCAATCTTCCAATAATGACCCATAACAAGGAAGATCACTTCATTGTCACTCCTGATCTCGCATCGCATCTTAAAGCGATTTTTCAATCTAAGGCGAGCACATTGTTCGCACCTGAAAAAGTTTGTACTGCCGATCCTCAATGAACAGTTGAAAAGTTTGAAAAGAAAAAAACGGTGAGTCTATAAAAAAAGCTGTTCATGTTGCTGCTGAAAAATTTGCGTCGGATTTTTCTACTGTAAGTTACAGAAGTGTTCGACTGAGTAGACCTAATGTTAATTTGACCTTCAAGGCTCCAAAAAAAAACAATACCACGGAACGTCAGCCATTATAACAGCACTATAATGTATTCAGTAAGTCTTACTGTTACTAATCTCTTGTCGGTAAATCAAAAAACAGCTACCTAACTATGTAGTTAACAGGAATTCTTTATTTAATCACCCTTTTAAAGGTGGCATTCTGCTATAGTTATACATCCAATAATGCAGAGGATTACGCAAAACTTTGAACCTTAAAAGAAGTCGAATCCGCGTTTTACCTATTCCGTGGGCATGTGCTGAACAACTGCACTACCAATTCCGTTGTTCTGCCATCACTTATAATGCATTACATCGCAAAAAGTGTGACGGCAGGACAGGAGTCATGGTAGTGCAGTTGATTAGCACGTGCCCAGGGAAGAGTGAGATGCGGGTCCGATTCTCGTCGGAGCTCAAGATTTTGCATATCACCTAGCATCATCGGAGTTATTATTCCTAACTATCATGGAATCTACTTAAGACATTCGAAGCTGTGATGTTTTCTATACGTCTTTTCACTAATTTATGAGACTGTAACTTCTTTCTTCCTTTCCATCCTTGTTTGTTTGTTCTTTTTTTTTGACGGGGAAGCATCAAAAGTTTAACACACAAAAGATGACACAACCATAAGTGCTGTTAATAACAATTGGGGCTTAATAGCCATCTAGTACTGAGAGAGAGCTTTAGTACATTTGTCGTTAACCAAAGAGGTATTGATTGTTTGTGCGAGTTTTTTCTTTAAAAAATCTTATCTCTCATGTTTCCCAACTGCTTGAAGTTTCCGATTATGAAGATGCATCTGTCCGTTTCTGTTCTGATAAGGAGTCATTTTGATCAATTTACTCATCGCATCATTAATTTCGTCCAACGATGATTTTCGAGAATATTCTTCATATTGATGCAAAACAGCAAGACCTGTGTGTATGTTCAACTCATCAAATAAATATTTTGCGGACTGAATTCTTTTGCATAAAGAGGACGTGGATGGATCGAATTTTGGCGGGATAGTATTGACTTCAAGTCGCCGCAGAATTATTCTCTAAAGTATTGTAACCAACGTCGATGGTATGTACTACTATTTATTCTGTGAATTTGGACTGTCGCTCTAGGCAATGTTACGCATAAGGCTATAAGATAGACATGAAGGTACTGATTTTTCGCCAAATTTCTATTACCGTATAATCTCTTTGGACTCTACCGTTATTGCCCAGTTTCTAGCATTAAGTGCTAGATAATGCGCTAATTTTATCTTGTCATACGACTTTTACCACACTTTCTATATGTCTGCAATTAGGCTCATTATGTAGTATTTTTTGTCGATGTCTTCTAATCTCCACAATTCCACTTTGTGGTTGGAGAGACAGGCTACGAGAAGTGTGTAAAGAATTTTTCCACACAGTGAAACCAGATATTGTTCATACTTCCTGCTTGACATTAACATATAGTGATTATGGGTTGGATAACTTTGAACAGTCATCATGATGGTTTATAAACCCGTTCGGACTGCAACAGAAGTGGCTGCGTGCAGCAAGAATCACAAAGTGGCGTGCAATTTCGTTACTTGATTGAATTTTCTTTGCCGTCTCTGGAAAATTTTTGAGTTTCTCCCTCATCTTGACACATCATGGTTTACTCTACACACTCATATGCTTTTGAAACAATATCTCTTATGTGTGGAGAAAAGTGCTAGCTTACCATGCGGTCATATTGCTTCTCGCATCTATTTAATTGTAATACGTTATATAAAGGAAATCATAGCATGGATCTCCAAATTTGGTAGTTCTAATTGTATGCAATGCAAGAATGTTACAGTGATTGAAAATTAGAAAACAATGATTGGTTGTTAATGATCAATCGGTATTCATTTATTTGACCGCTTGTTTCGGTGGTATGATCTTCTAGTATACCCAGTAATGTGGAGTACTGTGCAAAAACATTTGCGTCAGCCGTGATTCGAACCCAGATCTCACTCTTTCCGGGAGTGTATGCTAACCGTCGCACCATCGACGCTTGTTTACCACAGCACTCTTTTTACGCTGCAACGCGTTATCTGTCAACAGCCAACTCCCTCGGTTCAGCCAATTACCTGAGGTCAGATAATCTTCTTAAGGAATTGACGCCGAGTAAAAAACCATCCCAAGTCAAATCACCACATTGTCAGACAAGTACATCACCTGACCTGGGGTGATTTTTACTTGGCGTTTTTTTTTTTTGAGAATTATTTGATTTCAGGGAGTTGACTGAACCGAGGAGACTCATCAGCTCAAAACATCTAATATCCTTATCAGATTATATTATTTTGAGCGGGTCTATAAAAAGCGGTCGATAGAAAAAATGTTTGGTTGTTCAAAAATGATGATACTTAGTGGAGACCATACCAGTTCATCGATAACTCTCCATAATTTTTGGATTTTTAGTGTAGTTCACAAAAAGTGAGACCTTTATGGATTTATAGAACAAGCTTTCTTCTATCGTGCTATGCATATTCATTTTCTACATATCGTCTCATACTTTATTAAGAACATTATTCATCGTTGCAACCTTTGTTACTTGACATGTCCACATATTAGGTGTACAAATATGACTCGTTTTTCTGCTGAAATAATAGTGAACCAAAAATGTGAACTTTCCTTTCTTGAAAGGGCTAGAAACGATATTGATTCATATGCGTTTCATATACAAAAAATTCTGTATGAAGGCTTCTATGGGACTCTGAAGATGACTTGTGTACCCGAGAAGCGCCATGTTAATGAATTTGTCAGTTCGTATTTTGAATTAGGCGATTTCGAATGGTTATCTAACGGTGCATTGCCGGGCGAGCAAGGTGGCGAAGGTAAAACCTCATGAAACCTTCCATCTCAGCTTTTTTATGACGTTTTCGATCGGTTTTGCAACATGAAGTCGAGCATTATCATACAGCAAAACTGCAAAGTTTCTGAAGTAATGGATTTCCAATATGATTTTTTCAATGAACAACTGCATTGTTTTGGTATCATTCAATTGCGCTTTTTCTTGCTAATATTTTCGTATACAACTTGCCTATACTCGCTTTGAGATGGAGCTTGCTCCAAGCTCCATTAATCTTGTGCCCCGCTTCATTAGCATTTTCCCTCACGCGATATTCTTGCATGAGTAGCACGCGAATTCGTTCCCAAAACAGCTACGTCGCAAAGCATGTATAGACAAGTTGCATACCAATATGTTTACGCAAATGAAGTTACCAGAAACAAATAATTCCACTTACTTTTGGCCAAAACATTTGCTAAGTAATATTCCCCAAAAAACGTTCTTTGAACACAAAAGTTGTCATCTTGAAATTCCTATGAAAACCATCTTATAAAACAATATGTGTATAAAAAACGTATAAATAAATAGCGATTTCAATGCACTTTCAAACAAAAGACTAATATTCTGTGTGCTCTACGTATTTTTTTGGCTATTTCTCTCAAGGCGATTCCCTGTACCTCCCACAAGTTTGAGCCTCTCAATTTGACTTTAAAGTGGCCACGTGCAGGTGGTCGAGGCCGCCCACCAGTAAGCCACAGGCGAGCTCCGTCCTCTGATTTCCATGGGTATTCTCCTCCTTACACCGCTGGGATGCATAAACTTTATTGATTTCCACGAGTTATTCATAATTCTTATATGCAAAGAGGATTCAGGTACTTCTGTGATAGGGAAAACTCTGTGCGATAAGTCACAGACATATTAGGAAAACTAGTCAGTACTGCATATTTCTCGTTTGCTCATTGTTGCCACTCGGAATTCACTGTCCTCGAAAGTGATCGACTGAGGAAACTGCGAGTCAAGATGATCTTCTTGAGCTTCCAGTAAGGGAAATATTCGAAAC